AATTAAAAAAATTACTCATTTTTAACAGTATTTATTTGTCATGTAAATATTTTTTAACAAAAAGTTAATAAAATTTATTAAAAAATAAATAATTTTTTTATTTATAATTTATAAAAATAATTTATTTCTACATTTTTTTTTTTAAGTGAACCTATTCTTATACATCTTTTTTAAACGTGAATTTGGAAGTTCTGCCGTTAAACATACCGATCCAACTGCCAACTCCCATTTCAAAAAAATGCTGAAATATTTTCTTCCAATTTTTTTTAAAGGAAAATGATTAAAATATAAATCTTTTATTTAATCTTACATATTATTTCATAATTTAAAATTTATATTATTATATATATTTACTTATTTAATATATAAAAATTATAAAAAAAAAATTGCACTTGACCCGTGTGGTCTAGTGGTTAGAGCCACTGAAAAGTGCACATCCCTCTCCTCTGGACGGGTTTTGAACCCACCCGATGACAAAACTGTTCAAAAAAAAAAAATTATCTATATATCATTATTATTTTTAATAATGGATTATATTTCACTTGAAATTGATTAATAAGATTGTAGAACTCCACGCTATGACCCGATAACTACAACTCTTAATGTAAACGAAGATAAACTCCTATAAGCACGTGTTCAAATCTCACAAATTTTATTTTTAATTTTTCAAATTGCCTTCTTTCAAATATATATATATACACATAATAATTTATTCACTTTTTAACCAACCATCAGGGTTGCTTTGAATTTCGTGCTAGGAAATAATGGCATGTTTGGTATACTAAAATTTTGAAAAATACCTAACAAGTTAATCATAGGTAAAAGCTTTTATTGTTTGGCTTTTTTAGTTTTATAGTTTGCTTCCTAAAAAGGAAATATTAGACCTTACCCTGAATTTTTTTTCCTGATCCAAACTACGAGAAGAAAACCTTCTCGAGGAAGTGGTATGATGAGAGGCATGTAAATGCCTAAATTGCCTTCTAAATTTTGACATTTAGTGCATGAAATGACATGAATATCCTTGTAACTTTTTTAAGAAACTTTTTTACCCAATTATATAGGTTTTATAAAACCTGATAGTAGTTTCTGTGGTCAATGCATAAGTGTTTCACTTACACAATTGAAATTTAATATCCCTTATCCTATATTCCCCTTCCCTTTTCCTCCTCTTAAAAAAAAAAATATTATATAGCTTTTATAATTGATTATATTCATGCAATAACTAATTAACAAAAGAGTAAGTAATTGATTTTTTTTATAGTAGAATTTGTTATAAAATAACTAGCTATATATTATTTTGTAACTGATTATATTTTATATTATAGTCAAGTTGTTTTGTAACCAGTTATATTTTACTTTGTAAATCTTAATTTGTAAGTGAATACATTTTACTTTATAACCAATTATATTTTACTTTGTAATAATATTATCTTTCACTGGTTATATTGTGATTTTTGTCTTCAAAAAGAACCTTGGATAATATATATCTACTCCAATATTGAAATAAATGATGAGTCCAATGACTGCAAGCATAAAAGTAAGATAATATAACCAGTCAACCTGTTATGGAAAGCAAAAATTTTATCAGTTGTTTGACAAGGATAACAATTTTAAGAAATTGAAGGTATTTGTTCCTAATGATTGTAAAATAGCATAATGTAGCAAGCAACTTGGTTGAGTTGGTCTTATTTATAGTCCACAGTCAGAAGGTATTTGGTAATAATACCTGCTGTTGGTAGAAACAGATGCGAATGACAACTGCCCACATGTCAGATGTGACCATAGAAAGACTAAACATTGTTGCTCCACTCAACCGTAAGTAAAATAGATCATATCAAGGAACATGACCTTTTATTGATTTCCAGATTCATAGTTAAATCTCTATCTTTTTTCTACTCTTTTCTTTTCATGAACCCTGTAATCAAGGGAACAGAGGGTGGAGAAGAAGTTGACAACAAATTATGAACAAAGAAACAAACTCTTGAAACTTTACATGATTCATATTTGGTGGTGTAAACATAATTCACCAAATCTTGGCTAAAAAAATAATTCACCAAATAAGGACAGTGATATCATTGAGATCATACGAGAGGATATGAAATGCAAAGTAGACAATAAAAATGAAACACAAATTGAGGACAAAGTGGTAGAACATAAAACTTGACACATCAAAATGAAACTTAACTTGAGGACAAAGGGAGTGATGAAGTAGAAAATAAAACTCGAACTGGCAAATCCAACAAATGCTAATATCTGAAAAAGAGAAAAAATATATAGAGAATATAAAATTTGATTTAATGAAATATGGAAGCAAGGTACATGGAAATAAGAGAATGGAAACAATCATCTATGGTAGCATTTAATACAATGCCTAAATCTCCCTTCTATGCTCTTTCCTCTGACTTTAATTTGTAAGACTGAAACTTAAAGGTATCATGCGAAATTCAACATGACAAGCATTACGCTGTTGTACCTGATAAAACCCAGCAATGACAAGCATATCACCCACTGAAGAGGCCTTGAAGTCTTGAACCACCTAAAGATGGGTACCATATTGGGAGCCTATATCAAAATAGTGGAAATAGAGCTACTTCTCGTTTTAGACTTCTCATGTTTCTTCTTAAACTTGCTAAAAAATATCCATGGCTGTAAAGAAACAGGGAACTTGGAGGAAAAAGGAGGAATGTACTTCTATTGATTATAGACAAAATGGATATAAACCAAAAAAAAAAAAAAAAAAAAAAAAAAGGACAAAGTGAAGATGATACATCAAATCCATTATGCATTATCCAGGAAAGAAAAGATAGAACACATTCTGAGAGAGGTAAAAGAAAATGCACCTCCACCACCCACCACAGCATCAGAAAGTAGCACCAAACCAATGCCCAGCACACAAAGTGCCACATCACTTAAGTGCCATAGTGAATATCCGGTGCCTATGAAGATATATGTCAGAATAATTGCCCATGCTATTGTCCAGCAATCCAGCAGTCTGACACTAGTAGGTGATGAGAACTGGAATGCTTCATTACCTGAATAAAGACCCGAAAGAGCCAACCATGACTTTAATTGATAGAATATCAAAACTGATGATGTCAATCGAAATTAAACATCATTCTACACTTATTTCCAATTCCCAGAACATTTTTCAATTTAGGTGATTGGAATTGTTATATTCTCATATGAATGCATTGGCGGGCCTATAATTTAATCAATTGCTTGGAAATCTAAATATTATTCAAAGCACTCACCAAACTATTATTTATCCCAAATCACAGTAACATTGATGTAATTTCTGATCCCAGCTTAAACATTTTGCAGTCATACATATTCCACAAATCTATGTCCCCCTCCTAATCCAGCACAGACATTCAAGGCCAAAGCAGGTGCATAGTCGTCTTCGAGGGGAAATAAAAGAATCAACAACTACTAGTACTCACCAAGATAAAACCCTTGAACATCAATAAAATCCAGAAGGAGATACCAATACCAAGCAACCTGAAAAACCCGAATAATATTTCAAAATCCCGACCTCATCGTCCCTTACAGAATTCTGTTAAATGAGGTAGATTATTACCCTCGGCTTTTGACGCTTGTCCAGCAGGATGCTACCATAAACCAGAGCCAAAGTAAAGTAAGTGAATGAAGTCTGAGTAATGGGCGCATTAACCTCTACACGCATACCTTAGTAGATATTACATTACCATTTACCACCCCACACATTCTGCTGAAGACCAAGTCAAATAAGACTGTTAGTGGAGTCCTAATAAAGTGGAGCAGCTGGAGCATACCAGATTTTTATCTGATATGAAGCCACGTTTTTAGTAGAGAGTTACAACAAACTTCTGTTATTTTGCTGTCTATAAATAAGGAGAATGACCAGTTGCACTGTGTGTCAAATTCTCATCTTTTCATCATATTCTCTTGTTATAGTTGTTCTGCTTTCAATATTCAGCAATAAAAGTCATTTCAGTTTCCAGTCACTGTACTTCTCATTCTTCAATTTGCTGTCATTTAGTTCCTCTCTTGCTATTTGCATAAACACCATTTTACACTCGATCTACTTTTAAT